CTTACATAGTCATTCTCAATCAAAAATTTTCTCAACCTGTCATACCATGATCTTGGAGCTTGTTTCAAGCCATAGAGTGCCTTTTTAAGTTTGTACACATGATTAGGATACTTAAAATCAACAAAACCTGGTGGTTGCTCCACATACACTTCTTCTTATATTAAACCATTAAGAAAAGAACTTTTCACATCCATTTGATAAAGCTTGAAATTAATTATTGAAGCATAAGCAAGAAGTAATCTAATGGCTTCTATCCTTGCTACAGGGGGAAAAGTCTCATCATAATCAATTCCCTCTTCTTGATTATACCCCTTAGCCACTAACCTTGCCTTATTTCTTATAATGATTCCAGATTCATCAAGCTTATTTCTAAAAACTCACTTGGTTCCTATAATTGGATAATCATTTGGTAATGGCACTAAATCCCATACTTCATTTCTTTCAAATTGATTTAGTTCCTCTTGCATAACCATTAACCAATGTTCATCTTGTAGTGCTTCATCTATTGACTTAGGTTCAACTTGTGAAACAAAAGCCATAGTATTAAAAATATTCTTGATGGATCTTCTAGTTGACACTCCTTTAACAATATTTCCAATTATATTTTCCATTGATAAGTCCTTAGAAGTTTTCCATTCCTTAGGAAATTGTTCACTTATCTTTTCAGCAGTTTCATTTATTTCACTCTCTTTAGGCTTTTCACTAGGTTCCCTTTCTAATGGTGGTTGATCAAGCAAATCAGTCAAGTCCTCTATTTCAGTTTGCTTTATCTCTTGTTTGTTAGTCTCATCAAACACAACATGAACTGATTCTTCAACAATTAGTGTTCTCTTGTTATAACCCTATAGGCTTTGCTATTTGTAGAATATCCTAAGAAGATTGCCTCATCAGCCTTTGCATCAAATTTTCCAAGTTGCTCTTTGCCATTGTTCAGCACAAAACACTTACACCCAAATACTTTAAAGTATGAGATATTTGGCTTCCTTCCACTATAAATCTCATAGGGTGTTTTCCTTAGAATAGGCCTAATTAGAACCTTATTTAACACATGACAAGCTGTGTTAATAGCATTAGCCCAAAAATATTTTGGTAGTTTTGTCTCATTCAACATAGTCCTAGCTAATTCCTCAATGTCGCAACCCGAAAATTTTTGATCTCGCGACCTATGGTTTAGACATCCTTTTAAAGATCTCATCAATTAAAGAATGCCCAGACACTAGACTAATCCTTAATCAATGGTTTTGAAAATAGGTTCATGGAGTTGCCACCAATATTTTACTCAAAACATTGGAAAAAGAAAAGGTTTTTTTAGGTCCAGTAATGGCCTTGATAACCAAAATTGGATTCGGGGGTAGATTACGAGTAGAGAAGGTATTAAGCACCCCTACAACGCCCTAAATCGGTACCTTATGATGAAATTAACATGATAAGATTTAATAAATTAAATATTGAATCCCCTTTATTAATGTTTATTTACATGCTTAAAATATAAATTAAGCGATTAACCCTAAAATATCTACATTATGACATTTATTATAACAAAAAAAAAGATAAAGATGAGAAATAAAAGGAAGAGAAGAAGATTGACTGAAATACCTCTTGAACGAGCTTTATTGAATCTTCAAATATGGAGAAGGTGCTTTGTGCCAATTTCACCAATCATACAACCTATACCACATGCAATTTATCAAAATCACATATTTCTACACTAATAACCTTCACCTAAAACAACCCATAGGGAGTTATACTACTCCAATCATTCTCATCCTTATCTCATATGAATGATAAGAAGATTTTATACAACTCTCATGAAGACACCAAGTCCTAATTCCACCATCTACCTTGTCAAACATTGTAAAAACCACAACCATTTTCCTAAATGCTGACAGCTTGACCTTTGCTTACTAAAAGGATCATAACTGGAGTTCTAGACCTCTTTTTTGGGTGATTCTAGTGCCATTGGAAAGATAAGATCCAAGGATACAACTTTCATGAAGACTTCAAGACTAAATTCGGTAATCTATCCTCACCTCTGCAGCGCTCAAATCAACGCTTTAGCCCTCAATTTCTGCCAACTCAGTTTCCTTTCCACGGCCATGGCTGTGAATCCACATCCATGGCTGCAAGTTTTTGCCACTCTATTTTTCTCCATGGCCATGGATGTGAGTTTCAGCCACTTCATTTTTCCTCCACGGCCATGGCTGTGAATCCACGGGCATGTCTGTGAGTCCCAAAATTTCTGAAATTCCATGGTTTCCACCTTCGATTTTCTCCTTCTCTTCACCAATATTCCCCCTAAACATGATCTACACCCATGATTACTATTACACTCGTTCAAGCAACCCAAAAATCATGAAAATTTTGACATGTATGCATCAACATTCATGATCACCCATTTTTACCCAACTCATTCAAGAACACCACAACCCTGACAACATGCAACCCACCCAACTCAATTAATCAGTCCCCAAATCACATCCTAGATGAAGATCGAACTAAATGCAACAAAAAATGTACATCAAATTCGAGTTCTAGCTTCCCTTACCTCAAAACGAAGTGAAGGATGAACTTCGAGCTACTCCGTGGTTGAAGAAGAAGAAGAAGATGGAATGGGAATCCGACTCTGGGCTTCAAAGCTCCCTATCACACCAATTGCTCAGCAACCTTGAGAATTAACAAGAAATGAAAGAGGTTTGGGAGAAGGAAATAGGAAAAAGAGAGGGAATGAGAAAGAAAGGAAAAAATGAGAGAGGAGGGAAAAAGCTATGGGAATCACGGGCGTGATTCTCACGGCTATTACTTGAGAGATTTTTCTTATGTGATTCACACCGTGGGAATCATAGGCATGATTGATAATCACGAGCGTGATTCTCGCGGCTCTTTAATGGTGTTTGAAAAATTTAGACGGAAGGCAAACATTGTTAGTATTTTTGATAGGTGGAACTAAATTGAATCCAAAAATTAAAGTGAGACTAAATTGAAACTTTAAAATATTATAAGGGACCAAATTAGGGTTTTAGCCTATGTAATTTCTATGTGTTTTCATTCAATAAAAGACTACTTAGTTAATCATTTTTACCTTATGTTTAATGTTGTGCCCCGATCAACCTATACATGATTTTATCATTTTTAATTGAGGTTGGAAAACCATTTTGAAAATTTCAATTCAGATAAAACACTAATAACATTTATTACTAAGAATAGAACAAAGCGTATTAGTTGATTTTTGATTTTTGACCTTAATGTAGATTGTTTAACAAAAATTACAAAGAACTAATATTGAGGAACCAAAAATACATTTTAGCCAAGAATAAAATGAAAAAAAATACAAAAAAAAGACTATTATATATATATATATACAATTTACTTATATTTTTAATCTTTATAATTTCATAAATTTTACCTTTTAGTTCCTTTAGTTAAAAAGAATTCATTTTAGTCCTTAAAAAGAAAGTTTATGCAATTATAACAACTAAAAGAGAAGGTTTATACAACTTTAAGGACTAAAAAGAAAAGCCTATTTGACTATAGGGACTAAAAGTGAAAAAAACGATATGTATAGATACTAAGATGAAAGTTTTTTAACAGTCCATACTAAAAGGTAAAGTTTATAAAACTATCAAAACAAAAAATAAATTAAAAAGAAATAATTAATGGTAAAAAGAGATAAACATAAAAAAATACTGTATAAATTGTTGAACAATTTTTAAGACAAGTGTGACATTATTGTATTAAAAATGAGTTAGTGTTGGAAAGTGCCAAGGGGGTGGTGGTTGGTAAGACAAAGCCTTCCCACCCTCACCAACCCATTACCGTCATCAACCAACCAATCAACCAACCACATTTTGCAATTCAATTCTCACCAACCACTCCCATTTTCCTTTTGTTCAAAACCTCTCAGCTCCACTCCATCTTTGGGCTTTGCAGTGACAATTAACTCACGAGGACTGCACAACAATGGGTGGGGGGCGCAACAAGGTCTTCACTTTGTCTGAGGTCTCTCAGCACAACAATGCCAAAGACTGTTGGCTTGTCATTCATGGCAAGGTATTTCCTCTTGCTTTCTGCCCTTTCACTTTTTTCCTTTTCTTCTTTTCAAATTCTTGTGTTTCCAGTTTATTAAATGGAAACATTAGAGATTCAGTTGGGTTGGTTCAGATTCATGTTACTTAAATTTTTTATTTTTGTCTTTGTCCAAACCAGCTTAGACAGAGGAATATGACTAGTTGGATCTGTTTTGATTTTTTGGTATCCATGTTATTAATAGAAGTACCCACGAATTTATTTAAGCAAAAAGATATGTTTTGATTTGATTGATGGGTTTCATTCAATGGATTTGTTTTTTCGATTTTGGAAAATTATGGAAAAATTATTATTGCTTTTATTTAGTGTTATGTTATTTGAAGCATATAAAGTGCTTCTTCCAAAGTTTTTTTTTTTTTTTTTTTTTTTTTTTTTTTTTTTTTTTTTTTTTTTTTTTGTTTCTTAGCTGAAAAAAGCTAAGCTGTACTTGACCCAGTTACTGATTGATGGTTTAAATTGTCTGAAGGCTATATAATATTTGAATCGCAGTTTTTAAATTGACAATCTGAATCTGGAGCGATATAATTTGACAATATATTGGGTTTCTTGAATGATTTCGTGCATTCTTTTATAATTAAATTAATTGTATTTACTACATCTGTGTTCTGGATCATGATTGAATGATTGAAAGTTGAAGGTTTTTGGTTATCACTGTCTTACTACTGAAATCAAAATGAATTTGGGTGGGCCATTTAGCAAAACGAGTGATGACCATTAATGTGTAGGTATGAATGTATATTAGTTAAACATGCTTTCATGTTAGTGATGACCATTAAAGGTTTTCTGTTAAGTTTGTGTTTCTTTTTCCTTCGTACATACTGGTAAATTCTGGAAATAAGAAAATTCTTTTGAGTATTTCCCCATTTATATTCCATGTAATTCACCTCTTTCAGGTTGCACTTTCTGTTTATCCTACAGGAAGATGCTTTGGAATTGTGACTTTCATTTACTTACTCTTGGCTTTGTCTTTATATGGATGTCTACCTTTTCCATTTTAGTGTCTTTCTCTATTGAAATACATTGTCATGATATGTAAGAACTTGGGATTTGATCCGCATTCTAATAGATCACAATCATATCTTGTAATTTTATGATGCTAGGGACTACAGAGTCATGTGTATGTTAGGTTTAAGAAAATAGTCAAAATACAACTGTGCCATTTGTAGACTTGTGTGCTTTTAAGGTTAGTAAGAGATTTTGGTGACTTTGGTTCAGATTGGATCAATTTCTCTACAAATTACAAGTACTTTTAAGAGGAGAATTAACGAGCTAAAATAAATCAAGCATCTCTCATATGTTAAACCAAGCCATGCATTTCCACTTTTGGAGAAGTTAGACAAAAGGGTTTCTAAAATTAGCTTATGCATAAGTAAAATTTGTAGAAGTTCTCTTATATAACTTCTCTCAAAACTTATTTTTAACTTGTACATAAGTTAGTTTTAGCTTATAGAAAAACTTATTTTCATGTTCCTTTTCACTTTTTTCTTCTAGACGTGTTTTTGGGGAGGTTTTTCTAAACATATCCAAGGAGCATAAATTGATTTTAATTTGGGAGAGAAGTTTGATTCATTTTTCTTCTTGTACAAGTGTTTTTTTAAGAAGTTTATACAAACTGGTAACTGGTAGTGGTGGATGAAAATCAAACTAAAAACTTCAGTGTATGTATTTGATCTGCTACTTGATTAGGAATCATGTTGTGTTGGTGTTGGTGGCCCCTGTTCCTCTAACTCACCATATGTATTGTGGAACAGGTTTATAATGTGACAAAGTTCTTGGAGGACCACCCAGGTGGGGATGAGGTCCTGTTGTCTTCCACAGGTATCAACATTGTCTCTGAATGCACTTAATTATTCATCATACCTCATGATCTCAGCAAAGTGAGATTTCTGCAAAATGCCTTATAGCACTCCAAATGACACATGTTTGCAGGGAAAGATGCAACTAATGATTTTGAGGATATCGGTCACAGCACCAGTGCCGTAGCCATGATGGACGAGTACTATGTTGGAGACATTGATTCATCAACCATCCCCAGCAAGGTGAAGTACACTCCTCCAAAACAACCTCACTATAATCAGGACAAGACGCCGGAATTCGTCATTAGGCTCCTTCAGTTTCTAGTTCCCTTGTTCATCTTGGGTTTAGCAGTTGGTATTCGTTTCTACACTAAATCAACGTGATCATTTAATTGCAAGAGCACATGAGTATAGGCATGTGCAATAATGTGTTTGTGTTGAAAGACACCAAATCAACATGTTTTTTTATCCTTTTTGTGCTTCAATGATGAGGGGTTGCAAGTATATGCCGTATGAACTGTGCTTGTGTTTCCCTTTTCAGTGTAATTTGCTGCTAAATATCAGATTGCCTTTTCTCTGACAATGATTTGCTAAAGGAGCAGTTTTCTGAACTTTAAGCTTCAAATGTTTTTGCTGATTCTCAATATACCAATAAGCTAACTTTTGAAAGAATGTTAGTATTAAGTTTCATTTTCCATTGTAAACTTGTGATCCTAATGGGAGTGAGAATCTTGTGATCTGTCTCATTTAGTTAACAACTAGCAAGGTGCTCACTCACATGCATGGATGACTCTCGTTTTCACGAATGTTTGAAACATATACATGTTTATATAATTAAATTTTACATTGAGATTAACATTAGTTATTTAAGTTCTCAAAAAATGCAGTGTCAGGGAAAATATCTTTGGTTATGGTATCACAAATATTTCTTATTTTATTTAAAATATTTATATAATTATATGAAAAAGTTATGTTTAAAATTTTAAAAAGATTTAACTTATGTTAAATTTAAATACTCTTATAATTTTTCAATGTGAAATGATAAAATAAAAGTTTAACGAACATGTTAGTCATTGTAAAAGATTTTATTCGGTCGATCAATTAGAAATGTGTTAGTGTGATTTTTATTGTGGGTATTTCAAAGTCAACAAACTTAGCATATATAGTTATTTTCATTGAATGATAGTGTAGAAAAGCGTGAGAAAAAGACTAAGAACTAACAGTGGAAAATAATTTGATATTGTCATCTTATCAAAGACTCATATATGACGAGTTTATTGATTTTTATAATCATTACTTTAATAGTCATATAAAAAAATGATTTGGTTAATATAGTGCAAAATATTTTACATTGATAGTTGTCAGAATTCGAAAAATTTTGATCTTGTCCACAAATGGTTTGAACTTCCATTTTGAAAACTTCATCGGTTAGGAAATGCTTGTAAACCAGGTTAATTTCTAATCAATGATTTTAGAAAAGAGTTTGAAGGAATCGTCACCGATGTTTTACTCAAAGTATTGGAAAAAAAAAAGATTTTAAAATTACCAAAATGGTCCTCATAGTTAGAATTGGACTTGAGGGTCAATTACATGTAGGGAAGGTATTACGCACCCTATAACACCCTACATCGGTACCTTATGATAAAATTGGCGCGATAAAGAATAAAAATTCAAATATTTGGTCCCCTTTATTAATGGTTATATACATTCTTAACTTTAAAATTACACGATTGAACTTAAGACGTCTACATGGTTGCTTTTATTTGTGGCAATGTTTATGATAGAAATAGTTGATGATAGAGAAGGAATTTGATAGGAATACCTTTTGAACGAGCTTTTATAAAATATGCTTCCAATATGATAGACTTGAGGCATTTTTTGGCTGTTTTACACACTATAATTTATCTCACAAATCTAAAGAAATACAAAGAAGGAGAGGAAAAGAAGATTTCGAGCTATATAGGACTCTAATAGGCAATTTTTTCCTCTAGAGCAGTGTACACGAAACTCATATTTATAGACGTCAAACTTAACTAGAACGACCATTTTGATCATTCAGACAGGCCATTCTGGATTAGTTTGTTATGAACAATTTTTGAATCTAGAACGACCCATTCTAAAATTGGAACGACCTATTTTGAAGTCGGAACAGTCCGTTCTGGATTTGAAGTTAACTCATAACAAATAAGCTACTTACCATCTTTCACGTACCAAATGAGAGGAACTATCCGTGTGTTAGTTCGAAACAACTTTTTCATTTTTCGTGCTTTAAGGATATCTTAGTCCTTTTTCTAATGCAAAGCATGTAACTATGCCAAATATCGCTATAAAAACCGCTTAATTTTTAAATAAAAAACATTTATAAAGTGTTATTTATTGACGCTATCTATTTTAGAATTGGATTACAAAATTAATAAAGGTTCAAATACACTTCCAAATTAAATGAAAATTTAAGGTAAATGAAATGTGACAATATTTTTGAATTCTTTTTTCACAAACTGCTCCACATGTATATTTTTTTTATCACAAATATTTTTCTCTTTTTTCTTGTCTTTCTCTTTTCTATTTTTTTACACTTTTCTTTTTCTTTATTTTGGAGCAACATGGAGACTACTTTTATTTTGTTTTAATTTTTAAATTTGTCACAAAATGTTCGAAGAAAAGACACTCAAAATAGTAAAAAAATTTAGAAGTAGAAAAATTCAAAATGATTCAAAAATTGGTGAAAAAATTGCTACTACTCTTGTTTTGACTTCAACCTTTACTTTTGAAACCTTTTGAACTTCAAAGAGCAAGTTCAAACATCATTTTATTGTAGCCTAAAGAGTTTAAAAGATTCACCAAAGTTTGAACTCAAATTGAATTACAAGAAATTTAAAGAAATAAGATATGGTAAAAACTACAAGACATATGGAAACCTAACTCACTAGGAACATGTTAATGAAATAAGCAAGAGTTGAAGAACTTGCCACAAGGAGGAATTCCTTGATAAACTTCATAAAGAGTAGATCCAAAGAGGAATAACGATATTTTGAGAGAGAAATTTGAACTCAATTTATAGAGTTTGGTAGCTTGTAGTGCAAGTTAAGCTAACCATAGTTACCTGTAATCTAGGTTAGGTAAATTTGTATTAAAGACTACTAACTCTAGTTACAATTTGAAATTTGAATTTTCTTCCTAAAAATTTTACTATCCTAGATCTAGAAGATCCAATAGAAGCATGACACAATACAAAGTGCAAAAAGTGTGACTCATGTCAACATCTTAGATCTAGAAGAGCCAATGGGGGTTTGTCACATGGTAAGGTGTCAATAGTGTGAGTAGGCATGACACATGTGACATGTTGGAGTTTGAGTTTGAATAGCCAAGAGAACACCTAATCCTTAAAATGGATGGCTACTCCAAGGACTACATGTCCAATGGTGTTCTCATGGGCTATTCAACCCTAATAAGCACATATATCATTTTCTAGTTACACCTCCCCTAGAATACTATTTACACCCTTAAAATAAAAATTACAAGAAAATAAATTCATATATTAATTGACCCAAAAATACAAGGTAAAAAATAAGGAAATATTTACAATGAAAAGTATAACAAAGAATAAATGGACTAAGGAATTAACCTATAAATCAAAAGAAACTTAGACTTTTTATCTTCATCACGAGTTCATTCTTCTTTTATTCCTTTTGACATTACCCTTGTAATTGGACCTTAGGGGGAGGGGAAATATGTCATCACTTTATAAGGGAGTGACTAAACTCAATATGCATCCAAGGACTCATCGTCCAAGCATACGAGCTTTAGTGTCCATCCATCATTTAGTATAACATTGATTTGTCCAAAACATGGATGATTCAAGATGCACAACATACTTTCTACATATTTATATATAATGATTTGAATGTATTTGAGGATTGTTGAGTCCAATCAATGCTAGAAATCACGTCGAAAAAAAAAATCCCATTCTACTACAATTGCCTGCATTACCTCGGCCAAGCCAAGTTGACCTCCTCCAGCTTTCCACATTGGGTTCCTCGTCTATCATCATACAAAAAAGCCCTAAATGGAAAACACCCTAAATGCGAATATCTTTCATAAATGTCATATCTTAGCATTTTGTGATCATCTAACAAAATATCTTTGTTAATTTGGAACAATATCTTTGTTAATCAATGATAATATCCTTACGTAATCACAAGGAGATATATTTGAGATATCATGCAACATTATCAACCATACATACGGGGCACCAAGTATCATACTACCCTAACCTAATTCTTCACCTAAACTCCCCTCTAACTTGATTGTTAGAATGTCTTTGCAGGTGCCCTCCCCCACCCTTCTAACCACGGACATTGGAGCAATGAGGACGTCACACCACCTTGGGAGCATTTGTAGGATTCTAGTAAGAAAATTTGGCATCCATCGTGTGGCCGAAGTGAAACTATCCTCCGACCTCACATGACTTCCACCCAAGAATGAGTAATGAATGACATCACAACCTTCGTGCTCACCATCGTTGGTGAATTCACCAGCGGTTGTCCCTCAAACTCTTTGTGCAAGAAACGCCTTAGAATCCTTAGCAATAAACCTATGACATGTGGTAAAACATCTAGATCACTACCTTTCATTACTTTCACTGACGATTATTTTGTAAAGGTAGACTCGAGCCATGATGATCCTATGCTCATTTCAATCCACATTGCAAATTGTGAAGTGTAGAAAACTATCATAGACCAAGGAAGCTCGTCCAATGTCTTGTATTGAAAAACCTTCTTCTAGATGCAGCTACCTCGGGACATCATTGACCTATATAGTAAACCTCTACTAAGATTCACTGGCAATGAGATCAACACACTAGGATACATGGAGCTCCTAACCAAATTTAGGGTGAACAAACATGTTAGGTTAGTAAAAATTAAATAGCAACTAATAAATATGGTTGCCCCACACAACACTATTATCGAGTGACACACTCTCAATACCCTAGGCACCATGATCTCTATATGTCACCTTGCTATGAGTTTTTTTTACTAATAACGACACTATAACTATGTTAAGTCAGACGAAGAAATTCCTAGAAAGGTTTTTGAGTGTGACAAATATAATGCACGTGGTTATCGTTAACAAGTGTGTTAGTGTTTCAGAAGGACATAAGTACAGGTAAAATGAAGAACAATCATATACATCAAATGATACAAGAAGACAGACAAAAGGCCAAGACAAGCATCCAACAAGCCAAATCAAGAATAAGATGAAAGCACGTCAAGCACAACCCAAAGCGAGACATAAAGACTCCGACAAAAGGTGGGCAATGATCATTTGAAAGTCTGACCATATACAAGTTGACCAAACGAAAGGAAAAATCCATGCGTTAATGACAAATGCTCAGACAAAGGTCAAGGCTGGAGCTACACATAGACTACTAGACGCAGACGAAAATTGTCACGCAACCATCTGAGAAACCAAGTTTCATAGGACAATTTGAATACCATCCATACTCACAAGAGAACACACGAAGTCATCAAAATTGTGAGAAGAAAAGAAGAAAGAAGAAAATCAAGCAGAACTAAAAGCATGCATGTGTTAGAAAAAGTACATTATCTTT